TTTTTCTAAGGCATTGTGCTGAAAAGTGCAACTTGCTGGGTAACCTGGGGCAAGTCGGGGCACTTCTTGGCATCTCAGTTTTCTTATCTATAAAATGGGCTTAATGATTTTTTATAAATTTAAAATTGTTTACTATAGTATTTTTTTATATAAAGAAAAAAGTACAAATCGGTACAGAAAAACATGGGGCGCTTCACGAATTTGCATTTCATCCTTGCACAGGGACCATGCTAATCCCTGCATCATTCCAATTTTAGTACATATTTGTGCTGCCCAACAAGCACTAGGCTTGATTTTTAACCTCATACCATTGTGAACACTATATGAGATAGTCTGAAAAGGGTTTAGGTCAGCACCCCGCCTGGAATACAGAGGGCGCTCGTGAGTGGGTCTCGTTAATGATTGTTATTAACCTTCATTTCGTGCTATGGAAGGATTGGGAAGCTTTGGGGCAGGGCAGTCTTTTCCCCAAGTTACAACTCCCATGCTGACGGCCTCCTTTCCAAGCAGCCTGCCTGCAACTCACCTCTAGAAAGACCCCACATGAGCTCTTACGCTTTCCCGTGGTCTCCCCACCACTGCTTTGAGGACTTCCTAAATCTTCTCTTCAGGACGTTTAATACCTTGCAAAAGCCTCAGCCTATTTTAATTGAATTATTTCATTCCGTGTCAGGCTTAAAGAGCACCCTACAGGCTTTCAGCTCTGACTGAATGCATTCAAAAAAAATCAAATGGTTTAGATTATGGCCTAATCCTCGAGGGAGATATAAATAGAATCCCTTCTGCTCTCCTTTCATTTTCTTATGTTAGTTAAAAAACACTTATAGCATCTGCTTTTTCTTTTCCTCCCTGAATGCTCATTAGTTGCCTTAGTTGGAAAGAGAATAAAACTCAGACTATAACTAGATGTTGGGGAAGAATTTATCAGCTTAATTTTCAGGGCTGGAAGGGATTTTCGACTTTACCTGGTCTAACCTGCATAGTTTCCCTGCAGAGGTTTAGAGTAAGAGATGGCTTGGCTAAGGCCACAGGACTTTACCTCCAATGAGCGCAGCTTCCCTAGGACATGTTCTGCCCTGGCTGGTGTTGCTCAGTTGGTTGGGCATCATCCTATGCACCAAAAGGTTGTTTCAATTCCCAGTTAGGGCATATGCCTGGGTTGCAGGTTCGAACCCAGTAGGGGGTGTGTAGAAGGCAGCTGATGGATGTGTTACTCTGATGTAGATGTTTCTCTCCCTCCCTCTCTCTGTCTCTAAAAATCTCTCTCTCTATATGTATACATATATGCATATGTTTATATATGTTTTTAGTCCTGGACAAGTATTGGGAGCCACAGTGAAATGTGGCAAGGGACATTCAAGAGAGTTTGGCCAGGGCGGTGGTTAAGTCTGGGCTCAGACTACCAGGAATTGAAGCCCAGGCCACATCACACCATCTGTCCCTGGGCAAGTTTCTTAATATTGCTGGGGCTTCAGTTTCCTTACCTCAAACTAGGGATAGTCATAGTACCTGCCTCAGAGTGCTGTTGAGGCAGACTGCAATTCACTAAAAGCTGAGTACTGCACCTGGTACATAGTAAGTATTCAATAAATTTTAGCAATTATTGTTGTTACTGAAGAATTTTTTGAAAGACTCGCATTGGGATGGTGATGGGAAAGCCCTTTGTCTTAGCAGTGGTGTGTGTTCCCCATAAGGAGTGAATTTCTGGTCTTGCAAAAAGAAAGTCCCAGAGCTCCTTTATTTAAGGGCAGACCTGTCTTCTCATGAGAATAAAAGGGCAGGTATCAAAGGATCAGTTCTATCAGAGAGGGATGGAAATGATACTGTCTGAGCCACTGAGAGAATCAAATATAAAGGAAATTAAGTGCTTAAAAAATGTGGGAGCTCAGAGAAAGGGAGGTGCTAGTAACAATAATAAAAACTACTATTTACCAAGTTTATTAACATCCATGATCTCATTTGATTCTCAACATTATATGTGAGTATATATTTTATGGATATTATATAGTAGGACATCAATAGCTTTGTTGGATAAACAAACTAATAGCTGGGTAGGCATTTTCATCTCACTTGAATGAGAAAATAGGGACTCAGTTAGCCTTTGCTATGTAACAAACAACCCCAAGGCTCAAGGCAACACGGCTCATTCTTCATGCTTTTCTAGGTTTGCAAGGTGCATCTGCTGGTTTTGCCTGGACTCAGAATTCTGGATGCTGGTGGGTCATTGGATTGGAAGGTAGGAGAAGGCCTCTTTTGTCTCTTTGGCAGTTGATGTCAGATGTGGGCTCTGCCTTGCTTTTCCCCACATGGCTTCTCGAGTCGTTGAGGTTAGCTTTCTCACACTGTGGTCTCAGGGAAGCATTCCAAGAAGGTGGAGACAGAAGCCACAGAGCTTTGGGGACTTACACAATGTTGAGTCCACTACATTCTATTAGTCAGAGCAGGTCACAGACCAGCTAAGAGTCAAAGGTTGGAGAAGCTCCCCTATTGATGACAGACGCTGTGAAGAATTTGCAGCTACATTAATTTGCTCGGAGATCAGCAAGTATAGTTTTTTTACTAGCATTTGGCCAAGGTCCCAGAACCCATATGAGTCAGGGTCAGGACTTGAACTTGATGCCTGTGATCTCAGGGATTGTGACCTTTCTTCTATAGCAAGACCACTTGGCTGCAAAGCTAAACTTAGCTCAGGATGAGGCAAAGGTTTTTCCGCCCTTTGACATCGGGGACATTGGGCACCAGGTGTGTCTGTTGAATAATGTCATGCTCTTGAGACACTGTGATTTAGATGTAACATAGTTTTTCATTTGTATATGAGAATTTCATTTTTTGGGTATTGTAGTTCAGTGTAGATGCCTTAAAATGAGAAGCTAACAATGGTTTCCCTTCCAGGAGAACCACTGTGCCCAGGTGTGTCTTAATTTAGGTGTCATCCTCTCAATTGTTCATGGAAATCCAGGCCTAGGAAAATAAACCCTTTACAAAAGGGGAGGTTTGAGTGATGGTCATGTTGTTTCCAAGCATTTGGCTGAGGCTTGAAAAGATGAAATAAGAAACACTGAAAGCAAAAAAAAAAAAAAAGATTAAATTTCAAGCAACAAGAGCCCCTTTAAAACCTTAGAAAGACAGAACAGTCTGTTGAATATAAAACCTGTAGGAGAAGGTGTCCGAATAGCTTCCCAAACTATAGAGATCTTTTCTGGGCAACAGGAGAAGAAAGCGATTCAGAAAACCAGCTGCTGGTTTTCAGTGCTTGTGATGACCTTTGGAACTTTACTGTGGCCCGAAGATGTACTTAATGGAACTAAAAATGGTTTCTTACGAGGGAAAGTAAAGAACCAATATTCAGTCTCCCATTCTTGCCTGCTAAGGAGGAGGGGAATCACTTCAGAGCCACCGGCCTCCGTGGTGCTGACACGGGCAGCGGATGGAGCCGGGAACCTGTAGAAAGTGTAAGCAGGTGGGCGCTCTGCGGGAGGCAGGGCCTAAGGTCACGGAGGAGAGAGGACTGGGGAGGGGACACACCCGGAGGCTGCAGTGCACAGGACACCTCTGGGCGAAGGAGGTGCGGCTGGCCAGGGAGGATTTTGGGGAGTTCATTGTTCTCTAGTTGTGATGTAGTTAACTCCCTTTTGTGTATCTTTAAGACTCCTTTTCTAAAGACTTGGTTACTCTTGGAGGCTTTTGGAGAATGACTTGTGTTTATTTTGAGCATGACCTTACTTCAGAGAGCAGCCACAAAGCAGGGCTGGAAGACCTACTTTTATTTGGGTTATCCTAGCTTTCTCCTAATCTTATTCTTTCCAGGAGATTTTGGCCTTTCCAACCACGAATCATTTTCAGTCGGTGGGGTTTTATCCATTGCACAGATTTTAATTTTATTTCCTAATGAAGTTCATTTTGTTGTTAGGATGTTTTACCGGTGGTG